TGTATACGACCACAGACATACCCTGATATACATGTATACACAAGATGGTATACGACCACAGACATACCCTGATATACATATATACACAAGATGGTATACGACCACAGACATACCCTGATATACATGTATACACAAGATGGTATACGACCACAGACATACATGAAGCGACACGAACACACAATTACACATACACAGACAGAAAACTGGTGCAAAGACACTTACAGACCTACCGTAAGTGTTCTTAAAAACATCATAAATAACATCTCCAGTGTCCTACAGAATACCATGTGTCCAACATTCCGTCATAAATACCATGCCCATTGTCCTTCAGACAGCATTTACTGACATGGCGCATGTACAAACATGTTATTGTATGTGGTGGAGCAAGCGTACCGAAACTTAACGCCCTGGGAAACATCAAAGTTAGAGGGTGCTGTCCAGGTGAACACTGCTGATGTCTTCATACTTCGACTGGTGTGAGTCATCGAATTCTGAAAATACAACAAACAAAATGGGTTACATTATTGTGTTCAGCTGCAGTAAGGGATGTCAATGGATATTTTGCAAAGACGTTAGAGCTGATTACCGTGCTCTATGTTCTTTCTCTAAATGCTAGTTTATATTTTTATAAACTTGAAAAATGACCTTTTCGGCACCCGCACAGGTTTTGGTTTTAATAGTATCATCCGAGGCGGTGTACTTGGCAAATGTCCCGGGCACTATGGCCGTGTCGGCAGTGGTACACTTGGTACAGCGGGCTTGGACCAGGAAACCCTTGAAGTATCCGTCGGCGGCAGTTGCGTTCAGAGTTACTGAATAATTCAATGATATCAGCTAGATTAGTATATGTTGGATTTTGAAAGTTAAAGTTGCAGAGCCGTTATTCTTTTCAGTTACCCGTCTATAAGAAATACTTGTTTTCCGATCAACTGAAATACGGACATGACGGGATGTTGACAAAAAAGCAAGGTACGACGTATACCTGAATGAGACAGGTGATCTGTCTACTCACCTGTTACCGTCGTGCCTTGTTTGATAGAGGTAGCATTGACTGTGATGCTGTAAGGAGCTTGTGTGGTGTTTGCGGTAGTTCCGTCATGAACGGGAATGAGATTGAGGCAAGCCTGGGCACCTGCTCCGTCTTGAAAGCCCAGCACCATCACCGGCAAGACACAGGCGACGAAGAGTACACGGACATCCATCTAAAGTGGTGGAGGAAAACATACGTGATCAAATCGGGGATATGTCAAATGTTCCGTATTATCTCACTTATATGAGCTGCTAAATACACCCATGTACAAACGACTCTCTATATCCCTTAAGATTTCGTCTTGTCTACAGGCAAGCCGTGAACCACACAGTGACGTACAATCACTCGGAACATTCTACAATTGTTCATCCACACAGTGACATACAATCACTCAGCACATTCAACAATTGTTCATCCACACAGTGACGTACAATCACTCACCACATTCTACAATTGTTCATCCACACAGTGATTTACAATCACTCAGCACATTCTACAATTGTTCATCCACACAATGGTGTACAATCACCCAGCACAATCTACAATTGTTCATCAACACTGAGACGGACAATCACACAGCACATTCTACAATTGTTCATCCACACAGTGACGTATGATCACTCACCACATTCTACAATTGTTCATCCACACAGTGACGTACAATCACTCAGCACATTCTACAATTGTTCATCCACACAGTGACTTACAATCACTCAGCACATTCTACAATTGTTCATCCACACAGTGACGTACAATCACTCAGCACATTCTACAATTATTCATCAACACAGTGACTTAGAATCACTGACCACATTCTACAAGTGTTCATCCACACAGTGACGTACAATCACTCAGCACATTCTACAATTGTTCATCAACACAGTGACTTACAATCACTCACCACATTCTGGAACTGTTCATCCACACAGTGACGTACAATCACTCACCACATTCTACAATTGTTCATCAACACAGTGACGTACAATCACCCAGCATATTCTACAATTGTTCATCCACACAGTGACGTACAATCACTCAGCACATTCTACAATTGTTCATCCACACAGTGACGTACAATCACTCAGCATATTCTACAATTGTTCATCCACACAGTGACGTACAATCAGTCAGCACATTCTACAATTGTTCATCCACACAGTGACGTACAATCACTCAGCACATTCTACAATTGTTCATCCACACAGTGACGTACAATCACTCAGCACATTCTACAATTGTTCATCCACACAGTGATGCGGCCCATCCACCTGGAACTGAGGCAGAGACCGACAAGATTGCTGACTGACTAACATACACTCTCTGTTCAAGTTGTGATGGTTTCTACATACCTCTGACATCGAGCTACTCTTTGTGGCTGACAAACACTAGCAATATATATATAATCTCTCCTGAACCGTCACACCAAGTGAGAAGCCATCCCGTATAACTGTCGCTGATAAATTATGTAGCGTCAAGTAGGACAACTCTGTCGAATGATCATGAAAGTCGGGAAATTATGGAAGTCTAGAAGGGACATACTGCGTTGTCGATCTTTCAAACACATTAGGAAAGTGACAACATTCGCTGAAACGCGTCATTGCGACAATCCAGAATGTTTTTCAATAATTGTCGTTTAGTCGCGCTTACAATCACTCACCACATTCTACAATTGTTGATCCACACAATGACGTACAATCAGTCAGCACATTCTACAATTGTTCATCCACACAGTGACTTACAATCACTCACAACATTCTACAATTGTTCATCCATACAGTGACTTACAATCACTCACCACATTCTACAATTGTTCATCCACACAGTGACGTACAATCAGTCAGCACATTCTACAATTGTTCATCCACACAGTGACTTACAATCACTCACCACATTCTACAATTGTTCATCCACACAGTGACTTACAATCACTCACCACATTCTACAATTGTTCATCCACACACTGACGTACAATCACTCACCACATTCTACAATTGTTCATCCACACAGTGACTTACAATCACTCACCACATTCTACAATTGTTCATCCACACAGTGACGTACAATCACTCACCACATTCTACAATTGTTGATCCACACAATGACATACAATCACCATGTACATTCTACAATTGTTTATCCACACAGTGAGGAACAATTCCTAGGACCGTTCTTCAATTGTTCATCCACATAGTGACGTACAATCACTCAGCACATTCTACAATTGTTCATCCACACAGTGACGTACAATCACTATGCACATTCTGCAATTGTTCATCCACACAATGACGTACAATCACTCAGCACATTCTACAATTGTTCATCCACACAGTGAGGTACAATCACTCACCACATTCTACAATTGTTCATTAACACAGTGACTTACAATCACTCACCACATTCTACAATTGTTCATCCACACAGTGAGGTACAATCACTCAGCACATTCCACAATTGTTCATCCACACAGTGAGGTACAATCCTACAATTGTTGACCACTTCTACAATTGTTCATCCACACAGTGACGTACAATCACTCAGCACATTCTACAATTGTTCATCCACACAGTGACTTACAATCACTCAGCGCATTCTATAATTGTTCATCCACACAGTGAGTTACTATTACTCAGCACACTCTACAATTGTTCATCCACATAGTGACATACAATCAGTCAGCACATTCTACAATTGTTCATCCACACAGTGACGTACAATTACATAACACATTCTACAATTGTTCATCCGCACAGTGACGTACAATCACTCAGCACATTGTACAATTGTTCATCCACACAGTTACGTACAATCACTCAGCACATTGTACAATTGTTCATCCACACAGTGATGCGGCCCATCCACCCGGAACTGAGGCAGACCCACAAGATTGCTGACTGACTAACATACACTCTCTGTTCAAGTTGTGATGGTTTCTACATACCTCTGACATCGAGCTACTCTTTGTGGCTGACAAACACTAGCAATATATATATAATCTCTCCTGAACCGTCACACCAAGTGAGAAGCCATCCCGTATAACTGTCGCTGATAAATTATGTAGCGTCAAGTAGGACAACTCTGTCGAATGATCATGAAAGTCGGGAAATTATGGAAGTCTAGAAGGGACATACTGCGTTGTCGATCTTTCAAACACATTAGGAAAGTGACAACATTCGCTGACACGCGTCATTGCGACAATCCAGAATGTTTTTCAATAATTGTCGTTTAGTCGCGCTTACAATCACTAAGCACATTCTACAATTGTTCATCCACACAATGACGTACAATCACTCGGACACATTCTACAATTGTTCATCCACACAGTGACTTACAATCACTCACCACATTCTACAATTGTTCATCCATACAGTGACTTACAATCACTCAGCACATTCTACAATTGTTCATCCACACAATGACGTACAATCACTCAGCACATTCTACAATTGTTCATCCACACAGTGACGTACAATCACTCACCACATTCTACAATTGTTCATCCACACACTGACGTACAATCACTCACCACATTCAACAGTTGTTCATCCACACAGTGACTTACAATCACTCACCACATTCTACAATTGTTGATCCACACAATGACGTACAATCAGTCAGCACATTCTACAATTGTTCATCCACACAGTGACGTACAATCATAGCACATTCTACAATTGTTCATCCACAGAGAGTGACTAACAATCACTCTCCACATTCTAGAATTGTTCATTCACACAGTGACTTACAATCACTCACCACATTCTACAATTGTTCAACCACACAGTGACTTACAATCACTCAGCACATTCTACAATTGTTGATCAACACAATGACGTACAATCACTCAGCACATTCTACAATTGTTCATCAACACAGTGACGTACAATCACTCAGCATATTCTACAATTGTTCATCCACACAGTGACGTACAATCACTCAGCACATTCTACAATTGTTCATCCACACAGTGACTTACAATCACTCAGCACATTCTACAATTGTTCATCCACACAGTGACGTACAATCACTCAGCACATTCTACAATTGTTCATCCACACAGTGACGTACAATCACTCAGCACATTCTACAATTGTTCATCCACACAGTGACTTACAATCAACCAGCACATACTACAATTGTTCATCCACACAGTGAGGTACAATCACTCACCACATTCTAACAATTCTACACATTGTTTATCAACACATACTGACGTACAATCACTCAATCACCACATTCTAAAATTGTTCATCCACACAGTGACTTACAATCACTCAGCACATTCTACAATTGTTCATCAACACAGTGACGTACAATCACTCAGCACATTCTACAATTGTTCATCCACACAGTGACGTACAATCACTCAGCACATTCTACAATTGTTCATCCACACAGTGACGTACAATCACTCACCGCATAATACAACTGTTCATCAACACAGTCACTTACAATCACTCACCACATTCTACAATTGTTCATCCACACAGTGACTTACAATCACTCACCACATTCCAGAACTGTTCATAGACACAGTGACTTACAATCACTCAGCACATTCTAGAATTGTTCATCCACACAGTGACGTACAATCACTCAGCACATTCTACAATTGTTCATCCACACAGTGACTTACAATCACTCACCACATTCTACAATTGTTCATCCACACAGTGACGTACAATCACTCAACACATTCTACAATTGTTCATCAACACAATGACTTACAATCACTCACCACATTCTGGAACTGTTCATCCACACAGTGACCTAAAATCACTCACCACATTCTGCAATTGTTCATAAACACAGTGAGGTACAATCACCCAGGACATTCTACAATTGTTCGTCCACACAGTGAGGTATAATCCCTAGGACCATTCTCCAATTGTTCATCCACATAGTGACGTACAATCAGTCAGCACATTCTACAATTGTTCATCCACACAGTGACATATAATCACTCACCACATTCTACAATTGTTCATCCACACAGTGACGTACAATCACTCAGCACATTGTACAATTGTTCATCCACACAGTGATGCGGCCCATCCACCCGGAACTGAGGCAGACCGACAAGATTGCTGACTGACTAACATACACTCTCTGTTCAAGTTGTGATGGTTTCTACATACCTCTGACATCGAGCTACTCTTTGTGGCTGACAAACACTAGCAATATATATATAATCTCTCCTGAACCGTCACACCCAGGTGAGAAGCCATCCCGTATAACTGTCGCTGATAAATTATGTAGCGTCAAGTGGGACAACTCTGTCGAATGATCATGAAAGTCGGAAATTATGGAAGTCTAGAAGGGACATACTGCGTTGTCGATCTTTCAAACACATTAGGAAAGTGACAACATTCGCTGAAACGCGTCATTGCGACAATCCAGAATGTTTTTCAATAATTGTCGTTTAGTCGCGCTTACAGTCACCTAGCACATTCTACAATTGTTCATCCACACACTGACGTACAATCACTCACCACATTCTACAATTGTTCATCCACACAGTGACTTACAATCACTCACCACATTCTACAGTTGTTCATCCACACAGTGACTTACAATCACTCACCACATTCTACAATTGTTGATCCACACAATGACATACAATCACCATGTACATTCTACAATTGTTTATCCACACAGTGAGGAACAATTCCTAGGACCGTTCTTCAATTGTTCATCCACATAGTGACATACAATCAGTCAGCACATTCTACAATTGTTCATCCACACAGTGACGTACAATTACATAACACATTCTACAATTGTTCATCCGCACAGTGACGTACAATCACTCAGCACATTGTACAATTGTTCATCCAGACAGTTACGTACAATCACTCAGCACATTGTACAATTGTTCATCCTCACAGTGATGCGGCCCATCCACCCGGAGCTGAGGCAGACCCACAAGATTGCTAACTGACTAACATACACTCTCTGTTCAAGTTGTGATGGTTTCTACATACCTCTGACATCGAGCTACTCTTTGTGGCTGACAAACACTAGCAATATATATATAATCTCTCCTGAACCGTCACACCAAGTGAGAAGCCATCCCGTATAACTGTCGCTGATAAATTATGTAGCGTCAAGTAGGACAACTCTGTCGAATGATCATGAAAGTCGGGAAATTATGGAAGTCTAGAAGGGACATACTGCGTTGTCGATCTTTCAAACACATTAGGAAAGTGACAACATTCGCTGAAACGCGTCATTGCGACAATCCAGAATGTTTTTCAATAATTGTCGTTTAGTCGCGCTTACAATCACCTAGCACATTCTACAATTGTTCATCCACACAGTGACGTACAATCACTCACCACATTCTACAATTGTTCATCCACACAGTGACTTACAATCACTCACAACATTCTACAATTGTTCATCCACACAGTGACTTACAATCACTCACCACATTCTACAATTGTTCATCCACACAGTGACGTACAATCACT